TCATTTTTTTTAAATTCAGAAATGCTTCTTTCAATATTAAGAGTGGTAAAAGATGAACTGTTTGTCTTATCCGTTTTTCTGAAAGTATTGCAACTTAATCCTTAAGTTTTGTTCAGAAGTATGTAACAGTCAAAATATAAACTACTGTAGTCAACAATTATTTAAAAAGATCCCAAATTTTGTGCTCTTAGGTGGTTTATAATATGTATCTTATGCAATATTTATTTATTTCTCTTATCTGTGTGAATATTGGAAAAAGGCACTTTAGAAACATTATATTAATTATTCAAGTATTTTATTTTGATTCTAAAATTTATTCCAATTAAAAATTTTTGTTTAGTGCTATTTCAATATTATTTCCAAGTTTATAAGCTATAGTAAATATTAATCACACTTATATAACTTCTCAATCTTGCTGAAGTTATATTAGAACACCCAACTAAAGGCCTCTCCTTATCTGTAATATGCAAATAAAACATCCGATCATGAAATATGTTGCTCATTTTCTGTCACTCTAGCAAATGAATTTAATACTATTATATACATCGACTAACCACTTTATTAGGGCTCCCAAAAAATATGAGGTAAGATCATCTATCACTGCCATAATAATCTTGGTTTGTCTTTGCAAAACTTCACAAGATGGCAGAAGTTGTTTTGTTCAGTTGTAGTCCATTTGTCGAAGAGTATAGTCTGTGATTGGTTCATAGGTCTCAGCAGAGAATTACGCTTATGAATACGACGTTTTTATCGATCCCACAGATGTTCAATTGGTTTGAGATTCGGTTATCGTGCTAGCCAAGTAAAAATGGTTGAAATCAGTTTCAGACGCTTTGAACCAATTTCGAACAATACAGGCACAATGGACTGTTGAATTATCAACTTGTAGAGCATTTAACCATCATGGCGGAGGATCTTATTATTATGGGATTGACTGACGTGTTTGATAATAACTTTCAAGTACACTCTGGTTGTTATTCGCCTTTCTAAAGAAATCAGTGGACCCAGCGCCAACACTTGACAAGAAAATTTCCCTGCACTATTACATAACTACCAATTGCTTGCCTTTCTTGTTAGCCTTTGATGAAGGATGTATGTAAACATCCAGTAAAGAAAAAGATATTTGAAGTTTCTGCTAGAAGGACACTTGCTTTCACACCATTTTGAAAGTTGAAGAGAGCCTTACTTGCAGCCAATATCTTGTATGCTATGTTATGTTACATCTTAAGCAACCAAGAGATATCGGTCTATTTTGTATTTGCAAGTAGATGGAATAAGAACAAAAGTGACATTTGGTATGGCCTATAACTTATCGTATAGAACTATAGATTCTTCTCTGCATTTTGGAGCCGTAGGTACGTTATATGGGTGACAATCAAATCATACTATTCGACTGAAATAACGAAGAGTTGGCGGAGTTAGCCTTCCCTATAAATTCCAAATTAGGTAGCCACTGTGTAGCTTTCCACGAATAATCAAAACAAAAAAAACCTACCAATCCGTTTCAGCTTGTGTAGAGGATTCTGATAAAGACGTCATGCAATATTTTTTGTGTATCAGGCAGGCGATAGCACTGCCAATGTAGGAATGGCTCGGATTGTTCATGGAAATGGTATTTTAAATATCTCTTCAAAAGGTCATCAGAACTTTACAATACTATACAGTGTTTCCTTTTATAAAAATATCTATGTAATGACTGAGTCATTCGTTTTGGGAATGTCTGTAAATATCATAGCAAAAGTTTGAATTTCTTGTTCTTCTTTCTTCTGTGGCTAGGGAGCTCGACTCGCAATCTGCGGGTCGCGGGTTCGAATTCCCGTCTCACCAAACATGCTCGCCCTTTCAGCCGTGGGGGCGTTATAATGTGCC